TATATATATCTCCAAATGAAGCCAGGTTGGAAATCTCAGGAAACGAATAGGCAAAATGCAACCGACATGGGAAAATATTCCCTCTGTGATCAGCCCAGAGCAAAGGTTTAGAATGACATGGCTGAGTCTCTTCTATGGTTTCTTGTTTTCCCCCAGAAAAAATATTTGCAAATATTATCTATATATATCCTGCCAACCTGTGTAAGGTGAGATAGATTTTTACCATTTTCTTTTTATATATAATGAAGTGGAGGCTAACTGCCTCACGTTGCTTGAGAAAAATACTACTTATTAAATGCCTACTGTATGCAGAGTAAATTTTAAGTCCAGGATTTGATTACACCTACATTAACTATTAGAGATGAGGTATTTTAAGTCTCAGTCTACAGAGGAAAACCAAGAATCAGAGAGACTCAACGATTCCGTCTGGATTGCTGCCGAGGACTAGAGTGGTCATTCCCAGCTAGACACATCAGACTAGTACTAACTGGCTTTTCCCCTGTTCCAACTCCTTTACTGGATTGCAATGGTATGAAAAAGAGGTTCCACGACAACACAGCCCACTGCCAACATCACAGTATCTTTGTCCCCCAGCAGAGGAGCCCAATTCCGCAAAGACCTGAAGCCCACTTACTTGTTCACTTTCTCTTGTGCGGTTACCCAGGGATACCATGGCATCAAAGACAAGCCAAAGAGAACAACGACAAGCATCTTATGCAGAAGTCACCATCTAGAATTGATGTAAAAGCAGAAAATAGCCTACTTTAGAAGTTGCAGAAATCTCCAGGCTGGAACCCCAAACACCTATCAGATGTTTAAAATGATCAGAAGTTCCTCAGTTCCCATTCAGTGTGATTAACCAGTAACCAAGGTATCGATTAGCTAAACACCTTCAAAATGGCCCCAAGCCCTTTAGCCCTGTTTTGGGAAATCCCCACGTGGCTAAGAAAAGGTGATATTTAACTAAAATCAGTTTAGTAAAGAGTTTTCCTTCCAGAGACAGACAAAATGCGAAACCAAGATGCAGTTGCCGGAGTCCCAGGGTTTCCTAGGAGCTCCTGAGTCAGAATAGTCTGTTGTTTAAGGCAGCAGCAAGGCTCAAGGCTCACCTAGAACATCAGCTCAGATGCAGGCATCTAGGAAAGTATGAGAATATTAACAGTTTCATGGAGGTTCTGCTATACATTACCAAACATCTGAGAATGCATGAGATTCACTGGACTTTCTGCTCTCAATTCAACAACTGAGTGTTCTCAAGATCCAGCCTATTTATTGTCTCAAGGGGACCAGATGTCTCAAATATACATCTTGAGAAACTCTCTCTGGAATGATAATGCCAATCATGGCCAACACATCTGCACTGCCGATGCCGGACCTGGATATAATCTCCCACTCTTCCAGACATCAATTAAATCAAGTAAATAGAGATGGACAGAAGATAGACGAGCAGCTAGGCAAAAGCTATTAAATACTACTAAGTGATAGGCACTTCAAGTCTTGTATTTAGTCTCCGATCAAGAATTCTGCCACATGAGAAGTACTAAGTCCGTACTGCCATTGAAGAGGGAGCTCAGGTCAGTTAACTAGCTGGCTCAAGGATGTGCCGCTGTCTTGCTATGCTTGGAGAGGTGTAAACTGGTTTTAGGATTAGCCAGTTGTGTCTTCACTGACCTCAATAGGGAGACACAATGACCAGCTTGAATGCCTGAGAAATGCACATCTGACTCATATATGGAAACTCCAGCGAGGCTGCCAGTAGTTCCTCCTCTCCACTTCTCAGGGGTTTAGGCAAAACTTGGCAGATGTGAGCCCCAGCTCTGAATGCTGGAAGGACCCTAAGACTGTGTCTGTCTGTCTGTCTCCCACTTCTCTTCAGTTCTGAGGCTGAGGTCTTCTTAGCCACAGTTCTTCCGAGTGTATACATTTGAAAACTTTCCTTTCTTCTTTTTTGCACCAGAAGCCAAGTTGGTATTTTCTGTACTATGTCTACAAATGTTACATCTGAACACTCGGAGTACTGTATCTGGACCCCACCTTTCTCCTAACCTTATTGTATGAAAAGTTCCTGTCTCAGACATGCAGATTTCCCTGGGACTGGAACTCAGAGTCCCCAACCACTTTCATAGGTTTCTTCATGGGGAACAGACCTCCCAGAACACTGTCTTCTTAAGTAGGCATGTCATTGGTCACTTGGCAATGCCCAAGGGTGCTTGTGATTGCCCCATGGGGGACGTGCTACAGGTATCCAGTGGATAGAGTCAACGGATGAGGCTAAACATCCCACAATGCACAGGGATCCCCACTATAAACAAAGACATCTGACCCTAAGTGTCAATAGAACCTATGTGGGAAACACTGTCTACAAGAGTCCGGCCTGCCTTCTTCCTTGGAGTCTTGGGTTTCTCTTCTTTTTACGCATATGTGATCATGACATGTTCTTTTCAGAACAACTCCCTCTTGAGGTTTACCAGATGACTATTCATTCTCCTTACCCCAAACCTCAGTGACATTCAGGATTCCCGAAAGACCTTAGTCACCTCTCTCTGACATCCTCCAATGTTGGCATTTAAATTATGTTGCCTTACTCAGTAATGTTTCCCCCTTCATGCTTTACCCACACTACCACAAACCATTCCCCCCACCCCAACAAAATCTAAACTGACTCCTGGTGGGGCCACCTTTCTCCTCTGTCCATATCAGGGCTGACCTTATCTTCAAGAAAATGGAATCTGACACTGCTCTCCTGCTCCAGGGTCTTCTGTGGCTCCCAGCTGTCTATGAATCAAAAGTATAAACTCCTCCCTAAACAGGATCCCACCCAACTTTGTATCCTTAACCCACCACCTCAAGCATTTTAGTGTCCCTCTGGTACAATCTAGGTCCCTCCTGCCTGCCTCTCACTTTGCCACTGTAGTGACATTGTTCATCTTGCCTCTTCCGCCAGAACCATCTTTAGCCATCCCCCATCTTTCTGTCAAGAGGCTTCTCCAAGTCAAGACCAGCGTGGATATCTGTCAGGTGGCTTCAATTAGAAGTTGTTGCCTTGTTGTCTAAGCCTCATAAACATGGCAAGAGTGTTGGAAGGGCCTTGCTGGTCAGAGGTTGCAGTCTATCATGGCCTGGCAGCTTTCTCCAAGACATGACGACTCCCACCCCCTCAGCGAGACTTCCCGCTCTCTCCCTGCCCTATCTAAAGAATATCTCTAGGCCTGAAGGACTGACCTTATCTGAAAGCTGTCTCTAAACCTGGGTACCTGAGTTATCTCTAGGGTGACTCTTCACACAGTTTCCTGCTAGAAGCTTTTCCCCTGCTGCATATATGGTAACTAAGATTTATACTAGGAGCTTTGCTGTAGGACCTTGCTGCCCCTAACCCAGTCTTAGGACAGGAGTGTGCCACTGAACGCAAATTAGGGTTATCCTAATTTGCTCCCCAGTCCCGTATGTTTTCTGTACTCTGGAATAAAGCTGAGTTGATTCACCAAAGTCACCTCCCAGAGGACTGTCTCCATGGTATCCACAGCTGTCTGAACCCTGTTTGCCACTTCTGTTCCCCTCACTTTCATGGACCAATGTACCGATGATCCTGGGGAAGAAGCAGAACCACACAAGAGCACTTTAATTTTTCTCTATTGTGTTAGAATTAGGGTTAGGGTGTGGAGGCTCTCTGGAAAGTAAACCTTACCTAGGGTAAGGTCTATACCTGATTTTTCCTTATAATCTCCAATGCCACTCAGTACTGGCTCTTCAACAAGAACTATTGGTGCATGGTTATCAAGTGATCCATTAAAATAGATGGTTTTCATGATACTCACATTTTATCATTTTACCTTCAAAATTATCTTCTCTCTCTCTCTCTCTCTCTCTCTCTCTCTCTCTCTCTCTCTGTGTGTGTGTGTGTGTGTGTGTGTGTGTGTGCACAAGCACATGCCACAGCACAAGACGGAAGTCAGAGAACAAATTTAAGAAGTTCTCTCCTTCTACCACGGGTCCTGAAAGTTCAATCCGGGCCTTTCACAACAAGCTCCTTTACTTACTGAGCTATCTTGCTAACCCCCAATTCCAGAATTCTCTGGAAGTCAGAATAATTGAGAACTATGGAGTACCAGGCCCTGTACCTGCCACCTCCCAGGACCCCAATTCTCACAGCAGCCTTGCAATGCCGGGAACCCTAATGTAGTTTTGGAGATGAAGACACCAAGGTTTCGATAAAACAGATCGGCTACAATCCCTCACAGAATGAGTCTGAATCATGGATGTATAGACTCTTTCAATCACTGAACCTGGGATTGTTTAGGTCTAGTTGTTCAACTATAAGGTGCCATGCCAGGCTAAGGCTAGATCTTCCAGCACCAAGTCTGAACCCCTTCTCCATTTATTATGCATTAGCAGAAATGAATATTATGTCTAGAAGCAAAGGAGTCAAAATAAAATGGATCACGGATGAAATTAAAAAAGAGATTTGGGACTGTATAGAATTGCACACTCCCATAATTCCAGCATCCAGGAAGCTGAGGCAGGGGTGACAAAAATTCCAAAGCAAACCTTGAACACATTAAGAGACCATATCTCAAAGAAGAGATGCGGGGAGACCAATGGAATTGTGCTACGCCTCTAGGAGAGAATGTGTGTAGAGAACTGGGGTGGGGGCCCCCATCTGCTTCAGCCAAAATTTTCTAAGATGAATGGAGAATGCCAAAAAAATATGTTAGGTTTGCATATTTGAATTTCACCTTAATTGTAGCATCAGGCTGTCAGTGACAGTTGTAAACGGTTATGCAGAATCAACAGTAAGATGGTAATTCATTTTGAAAATGCATCGCCTGTCTCGTAAAAACACTCTTCACTATTGAAATCAGCCTGTGAGTTATGGCCTCGGAACAGAGCATGGCCCGGGTTGCCTCGTGCGGCTGCAGCCATGACATCTGGGCTCGTGCTCTCGCTGGTAAGCCTTTTAAAAGTTCTCCAAACTGGGCCCACAGTTGCACAATCACATAGGAGATCTGAATCTGCATACCTAATGTGAAAGGAAGTGATTCCCTAGGGTAGGAAGACCACAGCATTAGGCCAGAAAGCGCTGCTCACCAGGTACTATCTCCTCGCCTTGGCTTCATCATCTGTAAAACAGATAAAAATAATGTTTTCCTAATAGGACAAGATTAAACACCAAATGAGGGAATCTGCTCACAGCCGGGCACTTTGAACAGCTGTTTCTGCCTTGTTGAAACAGTGACTCCCAGTCTCCGTATCTATTTTTCTTCATTTATATGCATGGGAGATTTCCTTCGAGCACAGAGGCTGGGGGGGGGGGGGGCAGAGAGCACGGGGCTGCCAAAGAAACCGTCAGAGGAGGGTAGAATGTGGGAAGTTCACACCTAGGCACCTTGGACTGAGTCTGAATCCCCGAAAAGCCAGATGCTTCCAGCACGCGCTGGAATAATAATTCCAAGGCCAGGGAGAGCGGGTCCCACCCCCATCTCTGCCTAGGTTCTGAAAGTACCTCCGGGGTTTATGGGTGGGAAGAACTCAGAATGATAACCTCAGCCTCACAATGGCTGCAGCAAGTATGCTTTTTCCCAGGACCATACTACCTGGAATCAGTGTGGATCATCAAGCACACAGCTTTATGTGGGGGTTCACTGGTGCTGCTGGTGAGGTTTGTGGGTGCACGTGTACCAAAATATACTAATTTCTCGATGCACAAGCCTCCAGAATACCCAACCCAGTTCCTGGCACAGTCTGCAGGCAGTAAATGAACATGCCCTGCCCACTGCCTTCCTACTTCCTCTCTCCTCCTGTAGATCCCCTGTCTGTGATATCAGATTTCTTCCTGACTGTCTCACCAGTTCCTGGCTGTAGCCAAAAGACCTTAGCCATAGGTTTTCCACTGGAAACGAAGTGGGGCTGGGTTAAGTAATTGGTCTCGATCAAAAGCTGTGCACTGGAGAGGCTAATCCATGCCTACTGCTACCTACTTCCAGGAGAGCTTTGTATTTGCATTTAAGGATGTGGGGTAAGGAGTCAGTGTCTGGCTCACAACAGTAGAATTAAATTCTCCAGGAAGGGAGTCAGCATTCTAAGTGGCCCTGACCAAAGCTGGGTGGTCCTTTGGGACATCCTCTTTGTATTCCTTTCAGAAGCCCCAGCTGGGGACCATTCATTCAGGTGGGCCTGTGCTCTCAGTCGGCGATAGGAGACAATGTGAGGGTTGCCGAGGATCTGACCGCCTGACCCAAACTGTGTGCGCCATTTCTGCATTTCTGTTCAGCATCTGTGTGTTGTCAGCATAGGGCTGATCGTGCTCTTGAAAACACCACAGGCTCAGGGCTCTAGAGATGGCTCCCCAAGCACTGACTATGCAAGCATGAGGACCAGAGTTCAGATCCCCAGCACCCATGTAAACGTTGGGCTGCGTGGTGGTCTGACTGGAATCCTAGTGCTCAGGAGACCAAGGCCGGGGATGCCCGAAGCAAGCTAGCTCAGTGGACTAGTCAAATCAGTGAGCTCAGGGCTTATGTGAGAGACTTGGCCCCAATAAGGTAGAGAGCGATTGAAGAAGACACTGCATGTCAAGTTCTGACCTCTGTATGTGCATTGACATGTGCACTAGCCCTCACATACATGTACACCCCACACATAGGCAAATATGCATATGTATACCCATGTGCACATATTCTGCATGTGCAAAACTATGAATCATAAGCTTTAAGGCATGACCAATAATGACTGAATGGACTGATTACTCAGAAGATGAGTCCTGAGGGGCCTGCCCAAGCCAATTCCCTTCTCCACCCTATCATGCTTAGAGATAGACTGCACGTGGCCATGGGTCAGCTACTGCACTGACCCCATCCAGGGCTGGAGTTAAACGCTGGTGGGCACTAGAGATGAGAGGCACCGCCCCTGCCTGTCACAGGGTCTTGTGGCTGGGATCAACAGCAAGCACCGAGCTCGGGGAATCTGTGATCTGGGGAATATGTGTGACTGGACTTTAGGGGAGACATGGGGAGAGGACTAGGAAATTGTTTGATGCAGCTTTGTTTTTTAGACAAAGAAAAAAAAGTAGAATATTCTCGACATTCTAGACAAAGGAAGTCACATTGGTGAAGCCAGGAGTCCAGCCAAGGAGGGATTCTCCCTGCTACATGGGTAGAAGCAGACCATACCTGAGCAGAGATGGCAGCACAGGCGAGATTCTTATTAAAGGGACTGTGGTTTGGCGCATGTGCCTTTGTGTGACAACTGAGGTGAATGCTGCCCCTGAGGATATGAGGACAGCCTTGAGAAACGGAAGCTCTGCCATCAGAGATGGCACTTTGCCCTCCAAGAGCCACAGAGGATGCACTGGGGGAGGGGGACTGAGGCTGGGGACAGAGAGACCAGCTTTGAGACTGACTAGCAGGCCCAAAGGCTGTGCCCCTGCCACACAACGAGAAGTCTTTCTGGGGAGAAGGACTGGAAGGATCCAGACGCTCTGGAGTCAGGGACCTCATCCTCACGACGGCCTGAGCCTGGAGCACATTAAATGTTTTCACTCACTTCTCTGAGCTTCAGTGTTCACACCTGAGAGCTGGCTCACCGCTACACTTTCTTTGTCTAAATGTTCAGGATTCTCTATATCCTGAGCTAGGAAATCCCTTTTAGAACTGTAAAGCCGGCAGAGGGAATATATATATAATCACATCATACACATAGTACACACACACACACACACATACACACACATTTTAAGCCATTCACGTCTCTCTGAATACTTTTATTCAACATTTGTCTTCCCGTGAGGCACTCTGGGCTGTCTATCTATAATTAGACTTGCTCCTCACTCATAAGCCAGGCTGTGTGGAGTGAGAGACAGCACCGGATTAGCCCAATGTAAACAAATTTGGTCAGTCCACTTCTCACCCGTCAGGGTTCTAGCTGAGTGGATTTCAACAGCTCCTGGCGAGTGTTAATGCCATTTACGAACACGATTGCAAGAAGAAAAAAAAAAAAAGCCGGCTCCGTGTTTTGGTAATGCTCTAGGCTTCGTGTCAGCAGCTTCTTTGTAAGACAGTACGATGCCCAGGGTGGGGTGAGGGGCAATAGAGCAGGAAGGCAGTACGCAGAACCTTCACGTAGCTAAAGACAGCAGGTGTAATACCAAGTTTGCAAAGCAAAGCATGCTAGACTACTCAGTATTTTTGTTTGTTTTGTTTTGTTTTGTTTTGTTGTAACCTTGCATAAGTCCCTCTTTGAGTCTTGGGTATCTTAAGTATCTTGACTGTAAAAATGAGACTAAGGACACCTGCCTCCCAGGCCAGCTGGGAAGTGTAACCGAGGCCATCAATATCCATGACAACCTTAGGCGGAGCTCTGTGGGTGAGGGTCATGACTCAGTCTTCCAAAGCAAAGGGTCCGGAAATCAGGACACACGCGCAGAGGACTCGGTATCGGCAGACCCACCTCTGAGTCCTAGAAAGTAGGGAAGGGTTTGGACCAGATGCCCATTGCCCTAGTTAGCTTTAACTGTTAGCTTGCTGCAGCCTGAGAAGGGAACAGGGGGATTACCTGGATCCTGCTGGCCCGTGGGCATGTTTGGGGGGATTGTCTTGATGGTTAATTGATGGAGGAAGTCTCAGCCCATGGTGGGAAGCACCATTGCCTGGGCAAAGAGTCCAGGATTGTATAAGAGAGCTAGCTGGACATGACCCCCAGGGAACCAGCAAGCAGTGTTTCTGCTTCAAGTTCCTGCCCTGGTTTCCCACAGTGACGGACTGTGGTGTGCAGGAATAAACCAAACAAACCCCATCCTTCGCAAAGTTGTTTGTGGTCAGAGTGTTTTCTCCCAGCAAGAGAAAAATTCTAGACCACCTGTGACATGTTCTGTGATGAAGGCTGCCGTGAACTGGCTGCAGATACCCAGTATCTGAGGGCAGAAAGAAAGGCACAGACGTTTTATCGAGCACAGTCTTCCCATAACCTATGTGGTAGCTTTAGATGGGAAACCCTTTCCACATACAGAGAAACTGAGGTTCAAAGAAGAATTGAAGAAGGAAAAGAGAATTTGAGATCAGGTTAGACTGACTTCAAAGTCTACCTATGGTTCCTGTTTGGGGCATAGCAAAAACAGTCATACCAGATTTAGATGAGGAAAATACATAGTAATCTATAAAACAAGAAATGACACATTTAGAGGTTACTGCTGATCTTGTGGGTGCAGCATCAGGGAAGATGATACTTTGTAACAAATGACAAAGTATCAGCTCCCCACCTTGCTGTGTCCCAGCACCATGAACCCAGCCTGGAACCACGCGGGCAGTCAATATGCTGGCTGATAAATGAGTGAACGAAGCTCACAGATTCGCCATCGCCGCTCAAGCCTTTCTCACTGATCACAAAAAGTCTCTCACCAAAACGGTCCAAGGGATTTGCACACTTTTGCCGAAACAACTATTTCTGTTTCGCTGCTCTGTCCAGTGGCTGGGGTGCTGACTTCATATCGAGAGCTGACAAAGGACGCTAACAGGCTTCGGGGCTACACTTAGCAGAAAGCTCAGTTGAGACTAAAACCCCACCCACCGCCTTCCCTGGCCTCTCCTTATATATACAGACGCTCTTCACTCGGGCATTTAGCCAGGGCTTCTTTCCTACATACCAGCTTACCCCAAAGAGAAGTCTGTTGTCATCACGGGGGCTAAGCCCAGGATCAGTGTGGGAAGGCACAATGGAAAGGCATGAATATAATGTCACTGCCAAGAAGGCTGGGGCAGCAATTGAGAGTGCTGGCTGCTCTTCCGAAGGACTAGGGTTCAAGTCCCAGCACCCATGTGAGGGCTCACGACTCTCAGGGGAGTCCGGCTTCCGAGGGAATTGTGGTACAGAGACATACATGCAGACACAATAATCACACCCATAAAATAAAAAGTAAATAAATCCTCACAAAGGCATGGCTATCAAAAAGCTGTCTACATTCCCTTTCTGGAGGAGCAGATGATGCTGATTTAATGTGTGGAAGGCACTTAGAAAGGTGCCTGGCACTTAGTGGGCACTGCCTAAGTGTTAGTAATAGCTAATTACCGGCGGTAATTATAGCATGCTGTTATCAACATTGTGAAATTTCTTACTGCAAATGCTTTTA